AGCTAAGCAAAGAAAAAAGAAGTATATAAATACTATAACATTTGTTCTATGTAATGGCTTTCTTTTTTAACCTTTCAGCTCACTTCATTTCTTCCTTTGGATTTCAATTACCATATGGCATCATTTCCTTATACCAATGCAGTTCCACTCACCTCCTTAGTGTTCTTATTGTCAAATACATTACATTTCTCTTTTACAGGTCCAACAATACATATTACATACACATTGTTTTATGCAGTTGTTTTAAATCAGTCCAGAGAAGGAGACACATGGGATTAATATAGTTTTTATCATTACCTACATAATTTCTTTTTTTGGAGGCTCTTTGATGTCCATATTGATTTTCTCCCTTATTTTTATGTTTTAGCCTAGCTATCTAGGGGTTGCCCCTGGCTCTGTATAACTCACTTATTACTGAAAAGTTGTGCTTAAGCCCCCTTTGTCAGTTGCATTTTTAAACTCTATTGTGAGGTGTGTGCTCACCTTGTAGGTTGCTATCACAGTTCAGGGAATTTACACTTTTTTTGGCTCTACATTCAGCCAGGGACTAGCAGCTTGGAGTTCCCTCTCTGATCGCTCTTGAGAGGGCCGAGCCTTGGACATGCAGTCTCCCAGGGTGCTAGGAATGAGTGAGATTTTAGTTACTAGCCTGACTTCCTAGGAGTAGCTTCTGGGTGGGGGGAGCTTACTGTTCAGCGTCTGCTTACAGGTTGTGTTTGAGCCCCTGTGTCTGTGAGGCTTCTGCCCTGTGATGAGGGTTCTGTGTGTGTGTCATATGGATGCTTTTAAGTATGCCCTGTGTTCTGCTCTGAATACTCGAGTGGGTGCAGAGGGGAGCACCCCCAGGATTGACTGTGATCCCAGGAGGGTTCTTCTTGGCTCTTTCCCTGGTTCTATTAACTTCCGACTACTCTGTTTGACTTGCCTCACAGGGCGACCAGCCTCCTCAATTGCTCTCCACCGAGATTCCCATTATTTTGACAACACCCTTAGGCATGCAGTTCTCCAGGCTCTGTTCCAAATAACGCCCATTCTCCTCAGGCAGAGCTGTGGAGCTCTTCATCCTTATGGTCTGCCTTTCCTCTGGACCAAACCACCATGCCCCTGCACTGCAACTGTGGGTGGGGAGCCCCGTTTTCTAAGGATGAGACCCCTGCTCTACAAGTGGGCACTGAGGGAGGAAGAAGTGGTGCCCTTGGTCTTCTTGGCTTGCTTCTCCTGGGGTGGAATGTCCACCCTATTTGAGAGTTGGGGCAGGGGTGATCAAGCCAACCCTGCCTGTGGTAGAGCTTTGGCCTGGAAGTGGAAGGAGGTTCTAGTCCTCTCAGCCACTCTTGCCTAGAATAGAGCTTCTGCCATAAAGAGCTGGGAAGGATAGAAGTACTAGCAGCCTGTCCCTCCCAAGTTGAAACAGGGAGCCGAGGGGAGAGAGAATCTTCATCGTCTTGGCCACCTCTGCCCAGAGTAAGAGGACCCATGGCAGCATTTCTGGAACATGAAGCTGTTGGGGAGGAGGGGTTACGGATCAAATGGAGGACATGGGGGAGGAGGGCATGGGTCAAATGTCAGACTGGGATGATCTTATATTCACTCAATTTTCTCCATTGCCAATATCCTTAGGACAATTTCCAGAGATTTTAAATGATTGTGGTTTTGTTTTTTTCAAAAATGATTTGTCCCTATTTTGTTCCGTTGGGGTGACTTTTCACTGAGCTCTTTACTCCATCACTCTGGAAGTCCTCGCATCTGCCATCTTGGCATGCTTTTGGAAATAAGAAAGAGTAAGTGTATCTCAAGTTTGTTGGGCATGACATCAACCCCTTGGCACACCCCGGGCACGTGGCCCATGCCCAACTTAATGTCATGCCATGATTCCTCAAGTACTGAGTGACTGTAAAATAAATCCAAACTGTTTGTTTTGTTCTATGTGGACCAAAGAGGTTAGTGAGATTTTGCTTTTATTTCTGATGAGTGAAACATGAGTTCACTGTTTCAGTCTGGCTTCAGTAAAAGATTCAGAGAAAATGTGTTATATCTAGAAGGGTCTTCCAAAAAATTAAAATCTTCACAAATCAAATCAGCTTTTCCATTAAAATTTCAGAATTGCATTTATATGAAAAGTCTAAGGTTGCACCAAGACAACATTTAAGAATGTGGAACATTTTAAATTTCGAATGTAAGAAAAAAAATCATTTCCTAGTAATATAATACTTTTTTTGTAATCTTCCAATACATTTTTCTGGCAGAAATTTTAGGACTGGGGGAAGTAGCTTTAAAATATTTGGGGTCTTTTAGGCTTATAGGGAAACCACTTGGTCTCTCTGTAAGTTGCATTAGAGTATGTACCTCCATTATTACCCAGACATTCACATATCATTTTCACAATTTATGCCATATAGTCTCCATTTTTTTCTCTGTGTACCTCCTCCACTTATTCACTTAATACTTTTCTTTGTAATACATTTTAAGGATTTCACTCTAAATGCATTCTTTTTTTTTTTTTTTTAAAGCTGAGCCATCCTTCCACTGGTTGACAGCTCAGCGGCAGTTCAGCTCGGGCCAGGAATCGAAACGGCGACCCTGTTGCTCAGAGCTCGCACTCTTGAGCAAGCTCTTAACCAACTGAACCACTCGGCCAGCCCTAAATGCATTGATTTTTATTTTTTATTTTTTCTCTTTATTTTTTTTAATTTAGCTGAGCCATCCTGCCACCTGTTGGCAGCTCAGTGGCAGTTCAGCTCGGGCCAGGAATCGAAACGGCGACCCTGTTGCTCAGAGCTCGCACTCTTGAGCAAGGTCTTAACCAACTAAGCCACTCAGACGGCCCCCAAATGCATTCATTTTTAAAGCAAATGTCTTATCGCTAGTGCAAATAACCAATTAGCATGTATGATGAGAACAAAAATTGTTAAAAATTGTAGCTAGATATTGTTAAGGACTCAGAGCTTGAGGCTTTCTAAGTAAAAAAGAGAACTATGCAAGGAAATAGAATAAGATTAGCTGCATTTGACTAGTACTTACCGGTGCTAGGCACTGTCATGAGCACTTTACCAGGAGTATCTCATTTAATATTCAAAACAACTGTATAAAGTAGATTTTCTCCATTTTATACTGTGGAAACTGAGGCACAAAGTAAACAGGTGACAGAGCCAGGATTCAAATGGAGGCAGTCTGGAGTAAATATTCTTAACTGCCCTGCCATCCTGCCTCCTGGTAACGTAAAAGGCCTGCAGAGAGAAGTAAGTGATTCTTCATCATCTGATGCTATGCCTGACTCTCAGGCTGCACTGCAGGGCATCACCTGTACTTTGGGAATGCTGGTCTCAGAGGACGTCCACAGACAACTCTTGGGAGGACGTCCACACTCTGATCCACGTGGAAATGCTGCACACTTGATCCCCTTTTGGATACTCACGATTTATTGGGTAGTCAGAAAAGTCATGACGTACATTTTCTGTTTTTTGTTGCAAAAATGTGTCATGACTTTTCCGACAACCCAATATATCAACATCTAAAAGGTTCCGAGTTCTGCAGCAAAAACTTTCCTAAGCTTTAATGCAGCATTTCTCAAACTTCCTTGATCTCAGATGCCTCTTATAGAGGAACAAGTATTAATATTTTAGGAGACATGAATGTTTCATGGAGCAGTTTGGGAAACACTCAGTCTCAGTGTTTCGAATAAAATTCATTTCATTTAAAAACATTTCTTGTATATAAAGATGAAGAAGATATTTCTTCCTTGTGCTTAAATATTCAAATAGGGCTTCTGTTACCAGGTTTTCTCAAGCCATCCAACTCAGATTAACTTCAAAGGTTCATCTGCTTTATAAAACCTCTTCCAGTAAGCATGTCCCCTCCCTGCTCAGTGCCAACAGTGGCAAGTTCTACCAGGAGTGGTCCCTCCTGGTTCCAAGTACCAATGGGTGACATACATGGGCATGGGCAAAGGAAACCCTGGGCTTTGGAGTTCAGCACCTGAGTGAGCAACTGCCTGTATATTCAAAGTGAGCCTGGAATATATTTCAAAAGCTCACAATTAAGTAGGAGAAACAGGGTTGGGAGAGAGTGATACATGTATTGAGCCAGGCACTTCTAAGTGTCACCATGGACATCTGCTCACCCAGTTTAAAGAGCTCCAAGGTTTTTGGTAAAGACACAGCAGGCCCAAAGCGATGACTTCTGCTCCCCCTGCGCTGATCACCAGGAGGGGCCGCAGGACTGGGCGCTTGGCCTCACCTGGACGGAGCCGTACAAGCAAGCCAGTTTGTGCTATTCTTTCAAAAATTCTGACCATTACATGGGTTCAGATTTTCCATTGGCAGGGTACGCTTGGATTCAGAGCACTAGTGCATCACCTACCTTCTCAGTGAGGCCCTCTTGGCCAAGAGGGTCCTTTCTTCCTTGCGCCCCCAGTACCCCAGCATCTCAAAAAGAGGGGCTTTTCTGTTCTTGGTCCTTCCCTAGAGGCTGTGGCTTCTGCATGAAGCAGCCACATTCTTTACCTTTCCTTATCTTCTCAACTGTCCTTAAAACAGAAAATAAAAACAAAAAACAGGGAGAATAGAACCTCTGACCCAGGTCCTTGAGGGTCAGTCTTTCAGCCTGAGGATATAGACAACCCCTGGACAATAGTTACAAAGCAGTGGCAAGGACTTCTGCCAAGAGCCCTTAAAAGAGAGATCAGGGAAAGGAAACTTGCAGACCTATCATAAATCCATAAGCTTGGATTTAGGAGTCTAGCAGATCATAAAAAAAAAGGATTCGATTTAAGAGACCAGGGCTGATATTCAAGAGTTGAATCTCCAGCCTGAAAACAGGCAGAGTTTTAAACAGACCTCTTCAGCTTTCTTCTTGGGGACTAAATCCCCAACAGAGCTGCCACCACCCACCTCCCATATCTTGAAAGTGACTTAACTAAAAATATACAATAGTTATTCATTAACTGATAAAATTGAAACTACAAAAAAAAATCAAACAGAAATAACTAAACTCTGGTAATATAACTGTTTCACCATTGGCATCTTTATTGAACTTTTTCGATTTTTTTTTTTTAATTTTTCTGCCCGGTTATGACAATTCAATGGGAAATCGCAATTACAATTCACAAACTCTGGCGTGAAAAATAAAACACACCCCATCAGGAGTGACACCAAACCCTTTCCATTTTATTCATTCAGAAGAGTTCACAGCACAACTGTCAAATCTGAGCACTGTCATTTTTTTTCTTGGAAGGGGAAAAACATGTATTCTGGTAGCACTTTTACAATTCCAGGAAGTGGTTTTGATACCACAAGTTACAGGAATGAAAACCATAACAAACGTCAAGGGTGTTTTTTTTTGTTGTTTTTGCGAGGCCAGGGACTACTTGGCTGGAAGACTCCCCTTGTGCTTAGTGAATTGCCTGTCAGCCTCGGCTGGCTGAGTCTTCCCAGGTGTCGAAAGAAGAAACGGACTTTCCTGCATAGACAGCGAAAATTCCTGTAGAGCAGAGTGTTTTCTGTATCTCTAACCCTCCCCTCACCCTGAGGCAAGTTCTCAAGCTTTTCTGGAGCTGTTTTCGGTCACATGACCCTCTATCACCGTGACCTTTTTGCTTAAACATATGTGACACCAAGATTTCTTCTTACACTGCTTCTCTAGGGTTCAGATGACAGCACAAAACATCACTTGTCAAAAAATAGCAGATATTAAGAACTTGGGCATTTACTTTAATAATAACAGCACACACTTTGCAGGGTATGTCACCCAAAGGAGCATTTTTTTTTTCATTTAATATGGTCCCCTGGAGAGTAAGCTAGAGTCTTTTCAAAAGACTGGTCAAAATCAGTTAATCTGACAGTTTAGGAACTGTCTCATGCCAATTAAAAAACTCTTATGCCCAATGATTCAATGATCCATAAAGCAATTAAATGTTAGCATTCAGCTTACACTTACACACCCACGCACCCACGCACACGCACACACACGAGAACTGTGACAAAAGGATTAACCAGATTAATTTTGTGACTGTATTCTAAAAGATAATGAAATCTCAAATTTGAGGTGTCATATTCAAGTATTTAAAAATGCAGAAATAGTCTGATCCCACTTGATTTTTATGATCCTAAGAAATCATACTTGTTTGATTGGAGGTTCTGGAGTTCGTGAAGTTAACTCCTGGGGCACAAAATATTCTACAAAAATAGACTGGTGGTGATTTTCTACAATGCAGCCACTTACTTGTTTGTTATTTCTTTGAAAACTATGTTGCGACTTGGACTACTGTGGCATTCCAAGAGTCAGTGCTTTATAAAAGAAGCAAAAGAATAATACTAGCCGACTCACTTTTCCTATCTCACACTGGTGGTGAGAAACAGTCTTACACGTTTTCACTCAGCATGTCTAGGAGGCAGATGTAGACAGAGTCCTCTCCATTCTTGACTAGAACGTGCTACTATTGCAGCAGATGCTGTTTGGTCCCAATTAGGAGTAGAAGAGAAAGCAATTTGTTTGGTTTGCTTTTCACATTTTGCTTCATGGAGATTTTAAAACAAGAGCTTTGCTAGTTCTTGGCAATCAGAGGCTCTGTATTAATAAACAACCAATGTAGGATTATGTTCTCCAATTAGGCCATTTACTATCTTAAGGCCTGACAGCCAGATGTGGGAGGCTTTTAAAGTGCTCTGCTAGATTTTACAGACTGTTCTAGAAAAAAAAAAAAAGTACTCATTACCAGAGTTCTTCGAATGTTTCCGAACTGATTCTTGATTATCTCAAGCTATTGAAAGGCTCAGGTTGTCCAGGGACTGGATGGCCCCTCTGCCCCACTCCACTGAAGGATCCTAACACCAGACCTCATCAGCGCCTCACCCAGCAACAACCCCCAGGTGGCATGAAAGCTTGCAGCAAGGACACTCTGCCTGGCATGAATGATATGTGGGCAAAGAAAAGGAATAAACCCACTGTCCTGCTCAACGCTTACAGGCAGGGGCCTTCAATTAAAAGGAGAGGGGACACTGCCTGAAGGTCCTTACAGATGATTGGCAACCTTTACGAACCAACACTTAATTCATGGGCAGATAGATTTTCTTTTTTTTAATCTGAGAAAGTTTAAAGAATAAAGAATGAACAAAAAAGGTCGTATGCTAAAATAAAAAATCAGCCCCTTCTTGGCACAGTTCTCATGCAGAATATTGCACCCAGTGTTAACTAACGCTAGAAGCTTCAAACTGTATAAATTTAAATGTATTTGCATATTATAAAAATAAAGATAAACATATACATATTTTACACTAGTGATGGAACAGCAATGAATGGTCAGTCGATCCCTCTTTCACATTTAACAGAACTGAAATCTGCTCTAAATACTGCCACCTGTACTGGAACTATGGCTTATATGTGCACAGAAAACAAAATCCCTGAGAAGCCATTCGACTTTTTTTTTTTTTTTTCTTTTCTTCAAGTAGCGCTCTCCTTGGAGGATCACAGTTCTGAGGTTCAGGTTGTAAAACATTTGCTCCATATTCTCTCCCATCCTTCCCCGCACCATTCCCCACCTCATCTGCAGGCCAGGCGTGCTGAAAAACACCCCCGAACACCTGTGAACTCAAGTTCATGGAATACACTTGGGAGTGTGGAGGGTTTAACCAGGTACGAAAGATGGTCCAGGTGAGTTCTGATGCTCTCTTTTCTCCACGGAAATTCCACAGCCATAAAAGTCACTGGTTTCTGTGCTTTTCGCCAACGTTCTTCCTATAGGGGTAGATGAGAAGAAAGCACAGAAATGACAAAAGGTAACGATACTCTCAATTATAAGAACAGGAAGTGATACTATAAATCTATTTTTTTGCACAGATTTTCATTTCTATTTCTAGAACTCCTTATAAAAATGTAAATGTCAGGCAACTAACATTCCTACAAAGGAAAGAGTCCTTTTACTAAAAAACTAGCCAAACATTTCAACTTGTGATGTTAAGGTCAGCCTTAAAGAGGGGACTACACCAATTACATATAACCACTTATTTTCCCACTGTAATCTCACAGCTTAACTGGACTTCTTTTTAAGAACCCCAAACTCTAAACACAACACTGCTTCCTTTTACAAAACACACACAGACACACATAGACACACACTAAATAACCCTCTTGGAGTACGAATCCATAGTAAAAAGTGAGAACGGCTGTCTATCTGGATGAAAAGGCATGATTTTACTCAAAGTGTTGTAAGCAAGGCTGCCAAATGAAAATCTGGAGTTGGAGGAGTATAAAATGAAGAAACTGCTGCATCTTCAGCTAAAAACGTGGTATTCAAGTCAGAAAAAAATGGTTAGAGGAAAAAAAGTTCAAATGTCCCCTTCCCTTATTTCAGTCTTCCTATGACACGCGATGTGATGTTTTTAAGTGTTTTATAATAGCAATATTTAATATAACATACAAAGACAGAAGGGCGTATGATCCACTTTCCTCACTCCTTGACCCCATCTGTCCTAATGTTACTTGATTTTATGGGAGCTGATAATTTAGTATCTAAGACATCTCTCCAGCTTACGTAAGAATCCGCTAAGCATAATATTAGTAATAACATCGCCAAAAATTTACTAATAACATCACCTTCCATTTACTAATGAGTTACTTACTACACACTGGGAATAGCATCGTTCACTGTAGTAAATTATTTCATGAATTCTTGACTCATCACCGTCCCACCCGGTAAGCCCCATCTCACCCTGCCTTTTACTAAGAAGGAAATCAAGGTTCCAAGAGGTGAAGTAACTTCCCTGAGGGTACGCACCAGAGAGCTGCAGAGCCAGGCCTTTGCGGGGCTTATCTGACTCCAAAGCATGCTTAACAGGTAGGAACATTTGGGGCCCTCAGAGTAGTTTCCTGTTTCTAGGTACTCAACTATGAGGGCTCTTTGAAGGTCTATTGATATAGGAAACTTCCCAGAACAGAAAGTTTGGAAGACTGCCTGAAATTCAAGTGATAATATAATACGTCTAACTGCAAAGAGGATGGCAGTGTGAAAACACATGTTTCAACCAAGCAGTTAATTTTAGTGGTGTGAGATGTGGGTTTGCGTGGGAGAAGTGCTGTGTAAATGTTTTTCTCACTGAATCTAACGAACCATCAGAAATGCAGACACTTGTGTCTGGCTGCTCCCCTGGGCCACACCTAAGGCTGAGAAACAGAGGAATACCTACTGAAGGGCACCTAGAGGGAATATTCCAGTGCTGAAGGGAGTAAAAGGGAAACCAGTTTGCACATTTCTCCACATTAATACCACTCTTCATGTTTGGGCTCTTAGAGAAAAAAAATATCCATCAGTATGATATCGGGGTTCGGGGGGGCAGTGGATGGGGGGAGGGGGGTTGTCACTTTGTGAGGGGTAAAAAGGATAACTATTGCATTGTTTTGTACACCTGAAACTAATAATAAATAAATAAATAAATAAATAAATAATAAATATCCATCAAATCACCGACCTTTCCCAACCTCTCCCTGCCTCCCCATCTCATAGACATGTCCCTATCAGTCAAGATCCACCTCAAGTTCCTAGAACTTTTCCCATTTCTGGCTGGCAGAGTTCTTTCTTCTGTGCCTACAGAGCTTCGTTGATACACTTATCACAGCAGGTATCATATTTTACTTGTAATTAGACACTCACAAGATTGTCCGGTTATATCTTTGATCCCCATTCTCCCCAACGAGGCTATTAGATTCTGTCTTAGGTATTTTTCCATCCTCGACACCTGACACAATGCCTACTAGAGGGCAAATACTCAACAAAGATCTGCTGAATGAATGATGAGTAAGACGTGATGAAAAAGTCACAGGTAAAAAACAGCCAGGCTACTATGAGTTCATTACTATAATGGAGGTGTGTAAGAAGTATTGAGGAGATGTGAAGAAAAGAGTGACTGATTATAGTTAGATGGGATGGCTTCTCAGGATGGCACATGACCTTGGCCTTAGGGACGATGAGCCTTCATCTGGTAGGAGAGAAGGGGTGGCCGCCAGCTAAGGGCTGAGAGCCAGCCAGGGGTACAGTATGGCTGACCCTTTCCACAGTAAGGGAGTGTCACGTACATTAGCAGGGTGGCTGGGGTCTGATTGTGAGTCATGCCCAGGATTTAGAACTTGAGACTATTATCACTAGGAAGCCACTCAAGGCTTTTAAGTAGGGGGAGAAATGACAGGGTCTGACGTTGAAAGATAATATTGGTTTGAAGGACAAAAAGACTACAGAATAAATAGGAGGCCAGTTGAGATTCAACCCCAGGGATCTTGACAGAGACTGGTGGGCCTACACAAAAACATGGGCCGAAGAGAAAGTTAAAAGGCCGAATTCACTCAAGTCAAGACACACCGATAAGACAGGCTAACAGGTCTCAGTGGAAGACTGCATATGTAGAAAAGGGCAAGTGTTGAAGATGACAGATTCCTAGCTGCACAGAGGGGTACAAAGCACAGGCTGATGAAGAGCTTTGTGAGAGGAAGACAATAATTCACACCTATGAAGTCTACAGGACTTCCAAGGTGGCTGCCGTGTACAGTGCTAGAAATGGAGGCCTGGAGCTCAATCAAGGGAGAGGTCAGCTTGGGGGCTCACACCCAGAATCCTCTCAGGTTACTGAACATGCATGTCTGGGATGCAGCAATATTATTCAAGGTATTTATAAGCCTAGGCTGAAACTGAAGTCAAACCATGTCGTATTAACCAGATCTTTTATTTTCTGTATTCTGATGCTTTGACATCTGGGGCCCTGCTGACCTGGATGGACTGCCTCTCCCAGCATTAGCTAGCTCCTAGAGATAATAATAACTCAAATGTGACTCTGTTTCTCAAAAGCAAACCACATGATCCAGGGCCCACACCCCAACCACCCCCTTTACTGGCTCTCACACTCGGGGCCACTTCACCTGCCCTAAACAAATGCCCCCAAGGACCTGCTACCAGATATCCAGAGACAGTCCCTATGCCTGACAGCCCACTGAAACTATTCAAACCGGCCAGTCCTAAGCCCGTACGTTCACCCTGCTTGCCCCTACCCTCCCACAGAAACCACAATACAGGCTCTTGCCCACAGTTCCTCTCTTTCCTTCTCTGTCTCAATGACCAGTGTTTCCCAGTGTAGCCTCCTAGGGCACGGCATGCCCCTCCTCTAAGGAAATGTGAGTAATAAACTATCTTTTCAATGGCAGTTGTTTCCTGATCTGTTTGGCCTTGCTGTACCTCCAACGTTCTATTACTACTTCCTATTTTAAAACAGATGTGCAAGTTAAGAACTTGCTGTGAAAATAGCACTTAGCCCAGGAGCCACGAGGTGAATTTCAGGCCCAGCTGTGCCTTCGGTAACTGACTGTGGGAACATGACTGGCCTGGGACTCAGTGTTCCCAGCCCTATGGGACTTACAGGGTTGTTGGGAGGAGCAAATGAGTCAGAGGGCTTCGCTCTGAGGAGTCTATCCAGGCATAGGAGGCATCTGTGACTATATGAAAGGATTTATGAGATAAAGAGATGAGTGTTTTATCTCATGAGGATGGGGAGGGGGCAATGTTTACTGAGTAACCGCAGGTGGCCTCATCAACAGCCTTCATGTGCTCCACCTTGACCCCCTTCAAGGTGGCGGAGGGGAAGGTGAGCTGCCACTTTTACTTACCTACCCAGCACTCACTTGTACCCACCTTGGGCAGGCCCCTCTATAAGTTGAACATTGCTAATAAGTCAGGGGGTGGATTTTACTCAAGTATCTATATTTGCATGTTGAAACTTTGTTTTTTATTATTACCTTTATATGCCATCCACAGTGTACACCACTAATACTTCCTAGTGAAATAATAGCAACCGAATTTACTGAGCGCTATTTACTCCGCGTAAGGAATAATGTTAACATTTTCCCTGTAATTGTCTCTCAATACTCACAATAACCCCATGAGACTAGCGCTTCGTAACCTGGATCTGACAGATGTCTACCTCACAGCATTAACAAATTGGAAAGATTCAAACTCAGGAAGTTAACTCCAGAGCCCATCAAACTGCTATGAGAAAATAAACACAAACACTGCTTTTAAAAAGCTATTTGCTGTGCTAATCAACTTGAGCTTTCTCTGATGTTATATTCTTGCATAATATTCCAGTAAATTTTTTTTAGATAGGTTTTTTTCCCCAACAAAGATCTGACTACTGATATATGCAATATTAGAGTAAATTAGGTGAAAGAATCAAACAGTTTCCTTATTCTTAATTCCCAAAAGTGTCTTGATTCTGGGTAAGTAAAAGATTTATCACCTTAAAATATCCTCTTCTATAGAATCCTTCAGCCCAAACCCCACCCCACTTTCCCCCCCTAAACTCTCCAAGTCCTTAGGAAGCCCTTATCTATTTAAGAAACCCTCTCTGCTTCCCAGAGACTTACCCTTAAAAATTGGTGCTCCTAAAGTCACAGATTGGGTACAGTAAAAGTGATGGCATAAGGGGAAGAAGCACTATCCCTTCCACTTAATTTTCCAAGAAAGTATGGAGATACCTAAGCAGAGAAGGAACAAATTCCAGTATCAATGTGGCTGATGGGAGACTAAATAATCAAAGAAACACTATTCCTCCTCACCGGTAAAAGCTGCAAGACAATAAGCTGCCTCACTCTTTGCAAAGAACAAAACACATCAACGTGCTATACCCCATGGCAAACTCCACGGGTAGCCTTCCCCACCCTCCACGTTTTAAAGTTCTGTAGTCAGTGAAAAATTCCCCATTGTGATAACTCCAAATTCACCTTGCTCCATTACTTTTTTAAAAAACAAATTTTATCAAGTCTGTATTAACTAATCTGAGTGCAGTTAAATATAATTTGCCTGTTTATTTGGTGAGATAAAGGCCACAGAGTCTTCATCCTACTTTTTATAAAACGGTATTTCAATCGGTCTTAAATATTCTTATGTTCTAACAATGGAACTGCCTAAATCCCTATGCAAAGCAATCATTATATTTTTGAGAATACTTGTAACAATACATAACTGGAATTTTACTGGGATTCTACATGAATGGGAACACTACAGTATATACCCAATGACCCAAATTTAAATGGTAGTTCTGAAATGCAGTGATTCAGCCTCGCCTTTTATTACTGGTAGTACTTTCTGGAAAAGAAGGCTTAGCTCAACAATTTTCAAATCAGTTCACGTTTTCTAATTCTCTAACACATGACCTGTCAAAATCAGAATTAAGTTCCTTTTTCAGTCCCACTGCCCCACATATGATGCAGTGCAGACAGACATGGTCCCTCCACAAGAGAAATGGCAACTGTCAGGAAATAAAAATGATATATTTCCGTTTCCTGTGTGGTCAAAGATCAGTCCATTAAGAAGCCACATGGAGGAATGCGGGTTGCATTCCAGTAAGCCTTAAGGTAAAACATTTTCATATGCTAGCGTGTTGAATTCTCTCTTTTAAATGAAAATAAATTGGGTTACCTGGCAGTTTATCAGAATATATGCTTTAGTTGGTAGAGGTAGGTTTGGTCTGAGCCTCTTTGGAAATGAGAAAGAGAAACATCCCATAGGGTACCTAAAAATGAAATGCTAGCCCAGAGAAGTTCTCACTTCCCTTCTGAATTGGAGTGTTAAGTGTCTCACCCTGCAAAGCAACAGGATGGAAACAGGAATTCACAAACTAAAATTTTTTTTAAAAATTTAAAAATGATCCTTCTACTTGCTTCTTACTCTTCCCACTGAATGTATATTTTTGCCCCTTATGACTCCTAATGTCTAAGGCTCAGCACCCCTGTAATGTCTGGGGATTGGTCAGGCTGCCATTCAGGAGTTCTGAAGGATAAATGTATGCGGTGACAGCTGTGTTAATTAATTAGGTGGTGGGAGTCTTTTCACAATGTATTGGTTGTTGGAAAAATCATGATGTATTTTTCCTGTTTTTCGTTGAAAAAATGCGTCATGACTTTTTTGACAACCCAATATATGGGTAGCAAATCACTATGATGTACACTATAAATACCTATTATTTGTCAATTATTACCTCAATAAAGCTATAAAAAAAAAAGGCCAGTGGTTGCCAGGGGTTAAGTGGAGAGGGAAGGATAAATAGGGGAAGCACAGAGGATTTTTATGAAAATATAGTGTATGATACTGTAATGTGTATGACACATGTCATTATACATTTGTCCAAACCCACAGAATGTACACCACCAAGAGTGAATCCTAATGTAAACTATGGCCTTTGGTGATTATGATGTGTCAGGTAGGTTCATCAATTAACAAATGCACCACTCTGGGTGGGGGGAGGGCTGTTGATGATGAGGGATCTTGGTGGTGGGGGAGGCTGTGCATGTATAGAGGAAAAGGGTGTTTGGGATCTCTCTACCTTCTGCTCAATTTTGTTGTGAACCGAAACTGCTCTAAAAAACATAGTCAATATTTAAAAAAATTGCTACCAATACTAAACAAAACGAAACTGAGAAGGCTGGTCTCCCTCCAAGCAGTTCCATTTCCCCTCTATTGTTCAGTAAACAGAGGGCTTGCAGGGGGAGGTGCAAGCCAATTCACTGTCTTTAGGCTGAAATGAGCCAGGGATACCATGTTTATAAGAATTTCTTCAAAGCTGTCAAATGTGTTTAACACACCAGGCAGGCAGCAAAACCATTCCTGAAAGTGACTAAAAATATTTATTGACTGCATGGCACTAGGTGTTGTATTAGATACAAAGTGACTGCAAATGGGCAGGAAGTTTCTTTTTGGAATGAGTGATGTAAATGTTCTAAAACTAGATTGTGTTGATGGCTGTACAACTCTGTAAAATATTAATAATTATTAAATGGGCAAGTTTTGTGGTATGAAAGTATACCTCAATAAAGCTTTTAAAAATGTATCAGATAGAATCCATATCCTTAAGGAGGTCAGAATTTTTCAGAGCAATCCAGCGAATTTGCTGCTGGGTGAGTTTTCATATTATCTCAAATGTAAATATCCTTGAAAATCAGTCTAGGATAGCCAAAGTGTGAAAATGACTCACATCTCTGATAAATCAGCAAAGGGGACCAGAAGCACTCAGCCTTTAGGTTTCTCCCTGAGGGGTGAGGAGCAGGAGGAGAGCCATTTGTTTAGGACATGGGACCTCTTCCCAAAGGAATGCTGGTGGAGACCTCAGCTACCAACTACAGCTACCAACTACAGAGAATAAATCAAGTTTTGTGGGTTTTTTTTTAAATCACTACCTATTCTTTATCCTGTCTCTTCCCATAGGTGAATAAAACACATAGGAAAAATTTTACACGAGCAATAGAAAAGCTTAGAATTCATAAGGAATATGCAGTCAATGGTTTTTCTTTATAAAGCACAATGAGCACCATTATTGGGTACATGGTGAAAGTCAGGCAGTTGATTGACAAGTGTCTGATTTCACCTATAAAAAAGAGGAGTAAACTGGGCAAAGAAGAGCGTGGAATGTCCTTTCAGTAACCACCATAAGATCTACATCAGTGACCTAGGAGTAGGGTGATTATTCTGTTATGCCTGAGATAGATCTGGTAGATGCCTATTGTCCTGGCATAATAATTATGAATAGCCCTCCTATCACGCTCAATTCTTTTCTGATGTGAACAATAAATTATATGTGTAGCTATAAATGCGAACTCAGGGTGGAAGGGATTGTGCTGATCCATGCAGTGTGGACCAGTTTTGCCTCAGTGCTGGCAGCTGGTTACTGATTAGAGCGCCTCCATAGCCAAAGAGAAGGTCCACTGGCCAGGGAGCCCACACTCAGAGCTAAGGAAGAAATCTGAAAGATCAGAAAGTCCAGCATACAGACATGAGAATCATCTGGGTGACTTCTGTTTTGTAAAGACTCATGTCTGGCCCCTCCCCACGGAAATTCTGATATACATGCTTGATGAAGAAAGCCCAGTCTTGACCATCCACCTGTATTTCACGGGATGACAGAAAATGTACATGAAAGATCACTTTACAGTGGCCTGCATAAGATAACTTGGCTGGTGTTGCAAAGCCAGTGAAATAGCCCCCAGGCTCCGAATGTCCAGTGCCTGCTGGGACATCCCCCTCATCCCCACCCCTACCCAGTCTTACCCTCAGACTCAGGCCTAAGCTGTACTGATGTAACATCCGCCTCCTATGACAACTTGCCTCATCAGCCCCCTAAATCTCCTGCTTCCAATACACTATCATCCATTTGTAAATTAGGCTTCCCACTCGGCCGGGCCTGGATGTGTTTGTTCATGGATATTCCTTCATTGAGAATGGAGATGGACACTCCAAACCTGCCATCCATTGGATGAGACTTTTTTTTAACCCATTTCAAAACAAAACTACTCACACAGCTCAGTCAAAAGCAGTTCAGTCCCTAACGGTATTCCACCTGGCATCTACACGTCTGAGGCTAGGTGGCTCTGATTACCCAAGACTTGACAGACTTGCTCTTTTAGGTATAATAAGCTATGTGAGACAGAGGGCCGATAGCATTTTGTTCGGGTTCGAGTTAAATATCTCTCCATGGCAGTACAACACGAAGCTCATGGGAAAACACTGATAAAGCTGGCTCCACGCCACTGTGGTTTCTTGTGCAAATGGATATTATAACTCCTATCTCGAGCTTGCCTATTAATGCCATGTGGCTATGGCAAAACAAGAGGTTAACGTCTCTCCTGGCTCAGGAAAATCGACACCAACGCACAGTGCGCTGAACAACTGTTTCCCTCTGTTCCACACCCTGCTATTTCTATAGTACCCCCTGATGCTTACCCTACGAGTAGCTGAAAGAAAGGGACCAAGGTACACCAAAGCAAAGAACAGTAAAATTCCTGTTGCTTGATATGTTCAGGTCAGGGGAATGTTCTGGTTAATATGAAGTTACTATATAATCCTACGCTAATATTTAGGAAGTACTCCAAGATTTTACAGTGTCTTAGGGTCATATTAGTGAGGAATTACACTACATTCATGTTAGCTAAAATAGCATGCTGAATATAATAGCATTAGATAAGAGTTTCCTTGGGTGCTTAGTGATATTTCCTAGCAAACAGGGATTAGAGATTTCTGTCTAATGAGTCGCCCAGCTTGGAGAAAAGGGGCAACAGTCTTCTGCAGCTGCTGATGAATAAGAGTGACCCTGAACTGCCAATATCCCCNCCCACCCTCCCATCGCCCCACTGCTCTGCAGAGAGCACACCAAAGGCAGGAAAGCCAACACTTCATGGATGGAAGCTGAGCTCCTATCAAGCACAACTTTCTCCAATGCAGCCTAATAGCAGGTTTCTCAAGATGAGATGACAGGCTACCATTCTCAAACACAAACTTCCCACCCTCCCTACGAAAAGCTTAAACACGAAAACAAAAAATTCTATGTGGTCAACTAGGAAGAAAAAAATGACAGTTTCCTGCATGAATATTTTGCTGTGTAAGTCATGTGGGTTGATAGCACCCAGATATGAGATCTGCTCCAAGACCCGTGGCTGCAGCTTTTCCAGGTTTGCAATAAGAAGGTATTTCATCTCAGTTTAGAAGTGTTTTCACTGTTTGGTTCTTAATACTACAAAAACAAACAAACAAACAAACAAACAAACCCCAAACAGGGTGAGTTCTGTCTATAATATAATACTTAGCTAACATCATATCCAAAAGTTAGCTCCCATATGTACATTCTCTGTCTTTAAGTTCATTTGAGGAAAGATGGGAGCAAAGGCACAGCATCCGATTATCAAGGACTGATAGAGAGTCAGAGATCCAGAGAAATAATAATCTACTGAAGATTTTTTGCAGGCTTTTCTTATTTAATGAGCCCTCACTGTTCTTTCAGGTGAGAGCCTCCTTAATTCTGCAACGAAGGAATTAAGACTATCCATTTTTTTAAAAAAATGCTCTTTTTGGTTGCATGTATCTGCAAATATACTAAAAGCCAATGAATTCATACACTTTTCATGAAAGTGAACTGTATGGTATGTAAATACTATCTCAATAAAGCTGTTAAAAATGCTTTTATTCAGCAAAAGTTAAAAAAAAAGTCACGAACAAGAAAAAAAACGTTCCTAGTTTGCTTCATAAGCCATGGTGTTGATGTCACCCAGATAATGAGGTCTGCCCTGGGTGCTTTTCAAGGTCTGTTGAGATGTACTTTTACTTGGCTTTCTGTTATCACAACTACTGAGGCGCGATCAGAACTGGGGGGCGGGGCTCCCACGTTCAGCACTCACTTGGAACAGGGGCTGATCACAGTTGGTGTAGGTGGGTAAACCAAGGCAACATTCACTCGCTCGCTGCCGTTCTTGGGGCAAATGATCTCTGCCACTCCTTCTGGTCTGGGCTGACTCAGCAGCTCCCCTGCAGGAGGAGAGAGAAAAATGCATTAATGTGATCTGCCTAAAAGATGGGACCACTTGACTGAGAAGTATAGCGCTCGCTTGGGAGTCGGGAGGCAGGGAGAAAGGCAGGTAAGAGGGGTCCGCCGAGAATGGACGCCAAGAACCAAAGTGCTACCAGAACATCCGCACTGGCTCTGCTCCCACTTGCACTGCTGAATTCTCATCTGCATCATCATGGAGAATGTTCTAAGGGTTGTGGAAGGAAAGCCATCATCGTTGCAGACAAAAACAGCATCTGCTACTCTTCTCATCATCTTCCTTTTCACAGATTGACTCCGGAGATCTTTATCTACATGTGGCGGCAAAGTGAGCCAGGATCCCACAGGATCCCGGGAGACACTGGGGCTGCCAAGGAGGTAGGTGTTCATACCTAGAATGCAGGCAGATGCGATGCAGGCAGGCTTAGCAGCCTTTCAATAAAGGCCTGCATAAAAGACCTGGAAATGCAGCGGAGTAAAGGTGTTGTCAAGGTAAACAGCCCAGCTTCATACTGGCAAGAGGATTTCCTGGGTTGGTTTGTGTGCAGATTTGAAAAGACCAACACAATACCATCTTATGAGTAATGGGGGTCTAGTCAAAACAGATAATTAGCTTAATGGATTATTACAACACCCAAAGGAAATCTGCATACTCTACAGGCCCCAGATATAATAATCTCTCTCCAGCTAGATTATTAAATCCCTAAGAGCAGCGATAACTTCTGTACCTCAAGTTTCCTCCCCCTGTCCAGTGGCACCCTGCCCTTTGCCTGTTTCCATGGCCAGCATGGTGCTCTTGCTCACAGAGTTCAACGAATAGCTTCTGTCTTAGGATGGTGCGTGTACTCATTATTGTCCAAATCCCCCTCCTTAAACACAGAAAGTAAATAAGCCAAACCAAGGGCACAAAACAGATGCCAACTGGGGAAAGATGCTACAGAAATTAACAAGCCAACTCTCCGGTAGCCATCACTTGTATTATTGATTTGAAATTCTAGACACCCCTCAGGACATGCCAACATGCGCTAATATAAAAATCCCTTCCCTCAAAATACCGTATCTCTCATAGCCTCACCTTCAGCAGGACTCACATTGCTAGAGCATGCCAATGTGCCCCCACTGAACTAAGAGCTTGGAGTACACATCGTATTTCATCTTTACAATGTTCCTATGAGGTTTAGCCTCATTTTACAAACAAGGAAGCTAATGCTCAGAGGGGTTGTGTGGTGTATCCCAAGACAAGAGCTAGCTAGGGGGAGACCTAGGATGTGACCTTGGGAACCCATCTCTGGGACACCCCCTTCACCAGCACTCTCTAACACCTCCCAAAGCAGCGACTTCTTTACGCCAGAATACACTTCTCCTAGAAGAACAATCTAAAAACTCTATTTTAAAATGATGATCTAAGCATTGACATATTTGTATTTTTATGAAAGACAATTATTTCCTGGTTTGAACATTTTTACATGGCTTTGCACAACAGGAACTGAATGTAATCTGAGTTCCTTAACTAAACAACTATAAACACCAAATTACTGCAAAATTTAATGTAGAGTAATTAGCTTGTGTTGTAGACTCTTGGGTATCAGAACTATACTCCGACACCAGTTAGGAAAAGGGACCAAAATGCAAGTTAAAAATGTAAACATTAAATGTTAACAAAGTAATAAAATGAACTACAGTAATAGCACGTTAGAGCTAGACTGACACTTGGAAGTCATCCAGTCCAGATACCACTTTACAAGTCGGAAGCTCTCCGGTTCACCAGATTTGTTCAAAGCTCCATAGAGAGCTGTGCATCTTTAAACCAACCAATCCACCATGAACCTTGGGGCTAGAAATGCAACAAGGGGGTACTCTGAACACCCCAGGTTTGTTAACACCCCGGTCCTGGACCGCCTTCCCCTGGTCCCTCACCTGATATTTCAATTTGTACTTTCTATCCCATGATTACCCACAAGAACTGAACACAGACTGAGTGGGTCACTCTGGCTTCCCCTGAGAACTCTCTCCTGTTAGAATTTCATGTAGGCCTCAGCTTGCAGCTGCCTGAGTGCCCAGGATGACAACTGCAGATGTCACACCCCACCCGAGGCACCCATCCTTGGCATCAGCCTGGCACAGCTGGCTTCCTTGCTGGGTATGTTGTAGGTTTTGGTGAGCAGACATTCAGTTTGCCAGATAATTTGAAATAATTCACAGTAGACTGCTAAGCATTGGTTATCAATTTCCACTAAACCAGCAGTGTTACTATCCCCATCCCCCACCCCTCAGACTCTCAGTATCATGAAGGACCAGGCAACCGGGTTTTGTACAGATCCGGTATCTAGCAGCACTGCCAGTCACCGAAAGAGCACGAAAGTTGAAGGCACCGAGACGTTTCATGCATGTAAAGAATTCACTGCATGCTATAGAAGAGTAAGCAACAAGCAGAGCAGCTCACAATCTCCAGTACATCCGTGCACTCTAACACACTACTGCAAGAGTACCAGTATTCTTAGGGTTTAAGAAATGGGCCCAATTGCTAGATTAAGAAAATAACAGGAATAGCTTTTTTCTCCCCCAAAACCTATCTTATCACAAGTATGAAGAATGGTGCATAACATGTGTTACCTACTAAAATAGAAGCTCATTATCTCAAAAGTCTTTAACACAAATTTGACTTAAGCATAGCATTCATTGAGTACTGAAATAGGAAGAACTTACTGTGTGTGAGGAGCTGCAGGAGACGCAGGGGATACAGGGATCTAAGGCAAGGCCTCTGATGGGGAGGGTCTCAGCATCCCAGAAAGTCAAGTGTGCAAAAAAAGAGCTACAGTCCTGTATGAGGGGTGCCCGCAAGGAAAGTCATCTGAGATGCTAGAGGAGTGATGAGAAGGACAGGCTAATACTAAGTGGCAGAACTAGGAAAGACCTTGAAGAGGGCAGAACATTGACTCAAAAGACCCAGTAACATTCATTCTCAGAATGGGAAATAATACATGTGCTCTACCTTACCACCGCGATGACACATATGACAAGCTAAAAAATAAACACAAATTAACCTCAGAAGAAAGATTAAGGATCTCTGTAGCAGCTGACATTTATTGAACACTTATTATGTACTTAATAACTATTATCTCACTTAGTCCTTATGACAATCCTGTGAAATAGGTACAACTATCATCCTCATAATAAAGAAAGTGAGGCTCAAAGGTGTTAAGTATCTGTCAACAGTCACAAAGAGGAAGTGGCATTGTCAGAATTTGAACCCAGGACCACCTGACTCCACTCTTAACCTCTGTATAATACTGTCCTGTGGCCAGGATATTGTTATGATTAAATTAGATAACATGAAAAGTACTCAACATTGTATCTGGCATCTAGTAAGTTCTTGACACTATTATTATAGTGATAAGGTTTTGTAAAAGCTTACTTTTCCAAATTATAAAGAATTCACAGTACCCAGGTTCTCCACAGTAAAATGATACAAAAGAATTACGCCATAAATTCTCTACGTGCAAAACACCCCCTCATCAGAAATTTGAAAACTATCAAATAAAAAAAGTTTAGATTTATGACACATGTCATCACTAGCAAAAGCAAATAAAAAAGATAAATCTCAAAGTTGGTGGGAGCCATAAAAAAAAAAGTTACATTTACAGAAAATATCTTTTTGTAAAATTTATTTACTTTTATTAGTTTCAGGCATATGAAACAAGATAATGATTATATGCTTACATACCTCACAAAATCATAACCCCAACAAGTCTACTACCCATCTGATACCATACATAGCTATTCCAATACCACTGACTGTATTTACACCCTGTGACTATATATACAGAGAGTACCAAAAAATGTATACACACTTTAAGAAAGGAAAAAACTGTATTAAGCTTGTAAGACTCAATATATACCAATAACAAAAGATGAATACAAGTCACGTTTGACTTCTGCAATTACAAGAGGTGCTCAGAATGGTTACCATCAGCATCATTTTAACACAAGCTTTTTCCTTTCTTAAAATTTGTATACATTTTTTTGGACCCTCTGTATATATTTAGTTATAGTTGACATTCAATTTTATTTTACATTAAAGAAAATATCTTATCAGTAGAGTAAGGAGAAATATACATGGAACCTGGTATATTTCTTTTTCCGGAACTTGCTTCAAGAAGTAGGTCTTGCTTTCTGACAAAAATTATACAATGATTACTCATACAACACTATTTATAAAACAGTGAAAACTTGGTAACCCTCTCAAATGTCCAACAATGGGGAACTGATTAAAAACTATGACACATTAATAAGATGGAATTCTCTGTAGTCATTAAAAACTGACACTGACATTTCAATGAGGAAATGTAGGCTTGAAAGTACATTCTACTTAGATACATCAATTGACAAAAAACACAAATGAATTTAGAGTGAGACGGGTCATTCAGGATTAAGAGGTCCTGAGGTTATCTGTTTATTTATTTTTATGTTTCAGTTAACAAAAAAAAAAAAAAAACCAACAAAAAGAAAAAACGAAAGCATGCCTCACACCGAAGGAAGATACCAGCTGTAAATGCTGATGTTTTCTCCTCTGCTGGGGATATTCCATTCATTTGCAGTATACAATGCAATCAGTCTTTCTGAAGATGCAGAAATTTGGCCTGACAAACAAGAGCACTACATTAACTGAAGCTGTATTAGGCCAGGACACTCTCTCCTTGTACCCATTAAAGTTATGAAAAACTATTCTTAATTACTCTAGCTCAAGATTTCTGACATTAAAATGGCAGCAAACTCTTATCAACTGTTTACCCCTCTGTGGAACCAGAGAACACCAAGTTTTATTATGATTAAAAAAAAAAATCAACAGAAGATAAGTGAAACGAGATCAACTTTTTCTGTTTATCATTGGAATTCTCAAATATTGGGCACATAATGAAAATACTAAAAATTTATCATACTGACAACCCAAATCATAACATTAAAAGCCCAAAACATTTCT